GCGCCATTGCGAACCTGCAATGCATCGAGCACTGCACGAGTATATGAGATCATCTCCGGCGGACACTCCTTCGTCTCGAGGGGTCGCGCGGCCAAATAGACGAAAGTACTGCCATTCAAAGCTTTCTTCTCGTAGACCCAAGTCATCACAGTCTTGTGCACTCCGTTTCTTGAGACGTGGTCTACAGCATACTCCTGACCAGCAAGAAATTCCTGACACAAAATCGCAGTGTCGGGGGAGTCCACTCTCCTTTTCGTGGCGTTCAGGTGACTAAAGTGTTCCTCTGCTTCCTCCAGTGACTGGCAAAGCTTTACTCCGTCAGTGCCACCGGACTGCACTGGTTTCACCACCATTGGAAGCCCTAGATCCCCCAAGAAATCCTTCACATCCTGCCACTTGGAGCCACACACTTCACGAACCGCCCTTAGCCCAGACTTCTCCAGTGCCTTCTGCTGCACGTGTTTGTTCCGACGGTCGCCGCCCGCAAAGGTTGCGTTCCCCGAGCCATGGGGCAAAAGCCCCAAGTGTAGAGAAATGAGGTCGGCTAACTTTACCCCTGTTTCGTTTCCGGGGATGCAAGCGCTCAGTACTGTGGCAGAGCTTGGGCTAGTGCGACGCAGCTGATCTTGGATGGCCTCGACGGTCGCTGCAATGGAAGCTTGCTCTTCCACTGCTTCGTAGCCATCACGAATCCCTGCCAGGGCTCCCCGAATCTGTGGTGTGCATTCTTTACTCCACAGAGAGACCACCCGAAAACCACGAGACGATGCAACTTCTGCCATCCGAGCTCCCGTGCTGACCGGATCCACAATCACAATGACTTCCATCGCACTGGTTTGTTTGCGTGTGCGACGGACCCTGGCAAACACAAACTTGAGCCCTAGCAACACCATGACACGATCAAGCCTCCTGGTTGGACATCAAAAGGACCGCTTCGATTCCCTGACCACTCAACAACCATGGCTTCTGACCTCCTCCAACCAACCACCGGCGGGTTTTTCGACCACTCGAAGCCGAGGTCCTCGGCCTGCCTTGGTTCTGGAGAGATCCGAGATGGAGACCCGAAGGGATCGGATGTCCTCGCCGAGGGGAGACGTGGGGAGTTGAGGTCGTCGAGGTATCCAGTGACCTGGTACATAGGACCCTACTCACCTGGGGTACCGAACACGTGCCAAGAGAGGTTATATAAGTGACCGTAAATAAGACCCCACTGGGGTACTGAACTGGGATGGTCGAAGTGTTGGGTTCTGACCCACCTCTGCCAAGTGAGCGGCCCATCGGGCCGACATTTCAGAGCTCGGCTCGGTGAAGAGCTTGGGCGTAACATGGCGTAACTGGGCACCACTCAGTGGGTGGTAACCAAAAGAGGTGCCACAGAGGGTGTACAGATTTGAAACATGCGGTAACCAAAAGAGGGTCATTTCAAACCCGCAAGTTGGCGTCAGACAGGGTGCTCCATCCCATCGTCCAGGATCACACAGACAGTGGAGCACCCCAATTGGGCGGCCCATCGTGGCCCTCTCGTCGAACCGCACGGGCACGGGCCACGCGGCCGCTCCTCCCGGACCTGTGCAATCTGATGGTTCATCAGACCTCGCCCGCGGTCTGCCACGTCACCGGGAAACCCCAAAGAGAGAGAGAGAGAGAGCATGGGCGGAATCGCACGAACCGGACACCGGAGAGCGGGTGACCCGCTAACGACACGAGGACACGAGGAGAGCGGGTGAGCACGACGCCGGACACGTGACGCCAGTGGTTCGTAGTTCAGATGGGTCTGGACCCAATCACGACCACCGACATGACCCTGTCCACACTTTTGGGACATGGCATCCCCAACTCCGAGCTACATGAGAGGCTGAGAGGATTGCTGTTCATCCTCATCCTGTTCGCATTCATGCTCGAAGAGTAAGTCCTCAACAGAACTTCTTGACTGACAGCCCTTGGGGGCCCAAAACGGCTAAAGCTACGTTTTAGCTGACCCAAGGGGAACCTTTCTCACCACAAATCACCCAGCTCCGCTGACGCCGCGGCATTTGCTCTGGAAGTCATCGCACCAAATCAACCGGCAGATCCTGTCGGCTGACGCGCGGGCTGCGAACACACACGGCGGTTGGCCGTGTGTGTTGTACACGCGGTTCACTACACTGACTATACTTGTATATATACAGTATATATCATGTTTCGATGTTATGCATGTAAAGTGCATGTGATCTGATATGGGTATAGTGTGTGCATATACTGCAAACAACATGCCTATATAAAGGGAGTTGTCCTGCCACAGCGGCCGTGCTCCAAAGTCCAGATCTATTCTCCCAACCCATGCCAGCGATGCGCCAAAACACATGCAAAAAAAGGGACCAAGCGCACGCTTTGACCAGTTGTTTTGGCCTCGCTCCTCCCTGAGCGTGCTTGCCCACATGGACCGACGACGAACACGGCGGCGTTGGATTCAAAGCCCAGTCACCCCAGCAAGAACTCATAGCCTCGGAGGCGTGAGTTGGAGTGAACAGAGGTTGAAGAACCCATATGTGCCCCAGTAGAGTCCTATTAGGTCGCTGAACCTGTGTTGAGTTTCGAGAATCAAGATTAGAGAAGGCGTTGAAAAGTAAAAAGGAAAGGCCGGACAAGGATTGATACCAATGCCAATGACCAATCATGAGTCATCTTAATTTCTCTATCAGGTGGTTCGCTAACAACATGGTCAGCTTGTTCATTTTCAAGGTGGAGCAGAAGCAGACCAACATGCTTCCGCGAAAAGAAAAGTCTATCAAGTCTACCACGCTTATACCTACTGTATGTTCCTGGTCACACTTGCCTCTCATCAGTCCCTCCTTTCAGTCTTGTCATTGGTCCTGTTCATCGCTACCTAGTTGTCGCAACCAACCTGGGCAAAGTGAAGGCCCATTGGCCATTGGTCATTAAGAAAAGAAACACCTAAAACACTTCTTCCCTTTTTTCCTCCATTCACCGTTCTTTGGCCTCATCTTCCTCTCAAGTCTGGACAAAGGAGACTGAGTCCCTTCATGTCCCTTCACCTTCTTTCGCCAGATGACACCAGCCCGCACCTTCGCCCGCCTCGCTCGTCGCTTTGGGCCCCCTGGCGGTCGAGAACTCCGTTGCCGTCGGTGTCCAGGAGGCCAAAGAGGTCCTTGGCCTCAAACCTCAGCGAACGGACGACGCGTTCCACTGTCCGGAGCGCAGAATCGGCTGAAGAGGGTTAGGAGAAGTTGGCGTCGATCGCGGCATGGCGTTGGACGAAGCTGGCTGCTTGACAGCTTTCAAGTTAGGACGATGATCAAGGAGTTGGTCATAAGGCTGATTAATGGCTTGTATACAATCCCATGTCATCAACGTCCACTAAAACTTGTTCAACAGCCATTCTTTCCCGCCGTGAGAGGCAAATCCCGTCGCAGAAATCCTAAAAGGCATGCCGAAACTCAATGACTTGGGCTGTGCCGGCGTTCCCTCCCGGTGACTGTTTCTCTCCACATCGCACAAGAAAATCCTTTCCCATCCTGGCAATCCAGAATGAAAGACCATCACTGCAAAATCCCAGGTGTGTGGGACGGCCTGGAGAATTCTTGTGGAAGTTCACAAGAATTCCAGAGGCACCACAATGTCAAGACCTCCACCTTGAAACACCGTCACTTGATTTCATTGGCTCAACAAAGCCACCGCCCAACTGAACTCTTGGCACCAGCATTGGCTTCACTGACCCCTCCAGTTCGGACTGAAATGGCACATGGCCACAATCGACCTATATAGACCTAGAAACCTAACTGACCAGCCAAAACATGATCCTTTTGCACCCTTTTGCCCTATCGGAAGGCGGTCATGTCTGCGTTCCAGGTTCGACTTCCTGTGATCACCCCGCGGAGTCTTTTTCGGACAAAAAACCGAACGGGCTGTGACTGCTTCCGCACCCCGGTGTTCCAGGTTTTCAGGGCACCCGGAGTCACGGTTTTCCGTGGATCCGGGGCGCTCGGTGATCAAGTCCAGTGATCACCGGTGTGGCCTCCGGTGATCCGGGCCTCCGCGCCCAGGCGGTAGATTCAGCGCGGCAAACTGGCGTGGAGCCGGAGGTCCGGAACTCAGAGCTAAGTCTTGGGGCATCGGGATTGGGGCCCGGGAAAGCTTCGTAGGGGGAAGAACCTGGTTCCAGGAACCAGGTTTTTTCAGATTCACCGATTCCAGGGGAAGCAGATGAATGACAGTTCGTCCAAGCACATGGCACCACCAAAATAGGGCAGAGTGCGGGACGTGCAGGGCAGTGCGGAGGCTGCTTGGGGCTCTTTTGACACCATCCAGCTCAACTTAAGCGACCTGATTTCCAGATCCCCTACTCCATCCCCTGGTCCCTATAGTGGTTTCAGAGTAGATGGCACAGACCCCACGGAATGGTTTTTATGAACCCCCATCTGAAGGACATCACGAGGTCTCTAGCTACTAGTAGTCACGGCCTCCAACCTACTAGCGATGGCCTCCAGCCTTTGTTACTACCGTCAACGGCTCCAACAGGCCAGCTGAAACGATCTCCGCCGCATGAGGCTTTCGTTGGACCTCGGCTCGAACCGTGGCTCGCTCGTGGTGGGCTGAGACATCGGCTTCAGCCCAACCGGGGTGGTCTAGTATAGAACAGTGACCTGGCTTGAAGGAGGAGCGTGTTTTGGAGATATTCCCTCTTTTCGAAATCGTTTATCAATGTATCAATGGTGTTGGGTCTTGGGGCTCTGGCAGGTGGTTCCATCCCATCTTCAATCATCACACCTAAACCAAACCCAAACAAAACAACACCACTGGAACCAATGATGTGATTTGGGACATGCTAGTGGGGTCGATGCCCGGTTATGATATACCTGTTGGTTGTTCACTTGGGGGCATCCCCTCATTTAATCAACCAACCAAGGGCGCAAAAGGCAATCTATGATTGGATCACTTGTTGAAAAACTATTGCTGCTATGGCTCCAGGGTGGTCGTGGACCCCTGTGTTGTTTCCTGTTCCCAGACAGGCCCTGTCTGTGCGCCTTGAAGGGTCTCCCAGGTGCTTGACTTGAATGAGATCTTTTGAGCAAGACCAGGGGGATGAATTAGGGACCAAACAACATACCAAAACCATGTAAATGTAGACATATATTCAACAATTCGGAGCCAAGCAATACTAAACGTACTAAACCGCCTCATGAACTGCCAGAAGGAAAGAACCAAAAACTGTTGGCAAGTCAGTAGGCCCACTGTTTGCCGCCATTCCGCAGGTTGCTGGCACTGGCATGAAACCCCGGGTTCTGTCCCGAACACGCACGTCACAACGCACCTTGCCTCTCGGAACTCCTGGAGGTTAATGGTCCCACTCTTGTCCTGCCATCGGGCGAGCAAACTGCCACGTGTCACTACGCTTGTGGCATGTTGTGCTCTCTGGTGTTTCCATGTGGAACACGCTCAGAATTGGACATGTTGATACCTTAACTGGTTCCAGGGCAATCTGTCGGCAAAAAGAACGACTGCAGGCCTTGCGGACTTGTCTGTCATAATCATGTGGATAAGCCCTGGAAACCTCCTTTACCCCGAAAACCCCATATCATGAGAAACTCGCCGCAAGCTTGGGAAACCTAATCTTTCCCCCGAGCCTTCGCCTGTGCTGAGAAGAAAACTCACCGGAGCCCCGGTCTGGGCGCTTCACCGGACCTCATCGGAGGCGTCGATGGCTTCCAACAACTGCGCGACCTGAGGCAACGCGGGTCGGGCGGAGAGATGAAATGAGATCATGAGTCAAGTGACCAGTACATGAGACATCACCAGAGTGAAGCACATGAGTGACCAGAATGAAGTACATCTAGTTCATGATGAAGTGCATCCATCCTGGGACCCTTGAAATCGCCTTGGGGCCCTTTTGGCAACGACCTGCAAGTGCAAAGTGGCATACATGCTCCAAGCGGTTCCCCTGTAGATACCGACTCCTGCCCTCTCTCCTGGGCGACAGCTACAGGTTGAGCGAGCAACCACTTCAAGCCCGCCTTGTCATGGTCACTTCAGGTAAAACGTAAAAATGCCTGGCCTTGGCCCGGAAAACCTACCAAAGCACAGGGGTCTCCACCTGCGAAAAACCACCAAAGCACCCAGAGCCCCCCCGGCCATGAGCATCTTAGTCTCGCGGATGTTCTGCCAGCGGACCAAGAAGGGAGTGCCCGGCACGCCGGGCGTGGCAAAACGTCGCTTAGAAGAATAGAAACGATTGGTGGGAGTGGGTAAGTGTTCAGTCAAGTCACGTACTTAAACTTACGTCTTGGGGCCCATGACCAATGTATAGTGAATTCGGAAACTGACCGTCCAAAGGGTCATGCCCTCCACGAAACCATGACTGTTTCAGGGACATGTAACATGTATATTCCTCGCAGCACGTTACGGGACAATTTGACCCTTTTTCAGCTCCTCCTCCTGCAAGCTGCTCATGTTCTGCTGCGCCGCCGTCGTCCGCTCCACGATGACACCGATCAGGGACAAAGCCTTCGGAATTTCCGAAGGATGGAACCCACACATCCTGATGTCTTGCAAAATGTGATGATGGATGAAATGTAACGGTAAAGGCCAAATGAATTCAGTTGCTGGCGGCGGAGAACGGAGAACACCGACCGCCGTTCTCAGTCCACGCCCGGCGACCACCAGCAAGGGTTGCCTTGGACAACTCCCAGCGTGCCAAACGCTCATCCAGGATCTCCTCGCTGGGACCAACGGTGAAGCGAGCCAAAGGCTCAGAGGTGAGATTTGGGATGATTTGGCTGGTTTCTTGAATGCTTCAGGAGGTGTAATTAATGGATTTAGGATGATTTAGATTGGTTTTAGCAGGTTTGGTTGGCATGGTTCTGTTGCTTTGCTACAGTGGTTGTTCCTTCCTTTCGTTCGATGGATCGCTAGGTAACGAGTCATCATGAGTGATTGCTTCCGCCGGGCGGGGTACGTTCGGGCGCGGCCGGTCGAAAGGAACATCCGTTCAACGCTGTTGGTGGGAATTCAGTCACATTTCGATCCCTGAAGCTTCTTCAACCAGCAGTCACAATACGGGGTGCGATCTATGGAGGTTGGGGGTGCGAACATCCACTCACGTAAGGGGACTAAACTGGGGACTAAACACCACCCCGAGCTCTGTGACTCCTGGAATTAGACCTTTCAATTGGGTAATGATTCGGAGGCACCTTGCTGTTGGACAGGCCGGACATGCTTCGTGAAGGTGATTTGCAACTGTTGGCGGGTCCAGCGGCCTGGGCCGCTTCTTGGTACAGCTCAGCGGGAGACGGCTCCTGGTAGTCCTTGCGGATGGTCTCAGAGATGGACTTCAACACATCTTTCGACATGCTGACCACCTCGCTTCAAATCCGGCCACGCCGCCGACCAGCTGAACAACTCATCCATGAGAATTATATATATATATATATGAGCCTCTTACTCTTACTTCAAAAAAGATCCCCCCCAAAAAAAGAAGTAAAAATGGACCCATCCATGTTCCATGTGATCCGATCCCGGGTGTCCTGTATGATTCTGTCCCACTACAGCGAGTTCCTTGGAGGGTCACAAGAATCGTCCACTGGACTCCCAGGGTGAAAGACCAAGGGAGCAGACCACAAGTTGTCTCTGACCGGGGTCCCATCTAGTACCACATGAGAAAGAGGCAAGGAGAACTCAATCTCTTGTGAATTTCCAGTTCACTTCTATAGTCTCCAGTTCAGCTTCCATCTCTCGGTTCCCACAAGTGGCAAATTCCCGACCGCCTTTTTTGTGTGAAGGCGCGGGTTGAAAGGTGAAAGTCCAAGACATAACAAGATGATTGCATTGACAGCTAGCCAGAGGCAGCGGCTAAGACTGAGCGCAATGGAAAAGAGGTCTCGGCGCACGAGCTGTACATGCCACATGTCCGCATGAGCCTCTGAACATGCATATGAATTAATGAGCCAAGTCCAATGCCAGATTCAAGCACCCCTCGCTAGGCTAGGCAGCTACGCCCCCCCAAAGGAAAAACATTTTGCCTCATCAGCGAAGCAGAAAAGACCTTCCTCCTCCAGACGTCGCACCTCCGCAACATCTGCCCGGATCTGGTCATTTGAGCCCGCCAGCACCAATTGGCCAGGTATCGTAAAAACGTCGACTGTCATGGCAACTGCAGATCCACATGAAATGGAAGTGTGCAATTCCAGAAATGTAGCCAGCTTCTTCATCCTCTCATAGCCCGGTGTGCTTGTCACTGTGCCCGCGGAGTAGGACACCAATGCTACCATCAACCCTGAAGTGCCGAAGGCTCTGGGAACATCGGGGAGTGCGTCAAAACGCTTCTGGTTCAGGGAGTCAAGAGTTGCATCTACCTGAGAGGTGCCTGTGAGCAATCGTGCCAAAGAAATGAATGCACCGTTGGCACCCATCATGCGCATGTTCACTTCTACGAGACAAGGACCATCAGGAGTCATCTTGACCTCGGCATGAGTTGCGCCATTGCGAACCTGCAATGCATCGAGCACTGCACGAGTATATGAGATCATCTCCGGCGGACACTCCTTCGTCTCGAGGGGTCGCGCGGCCAAATAGACGAAAGTACTGCCATTCAAAGCTTTCTTCTCGTAGACCCAAGTCATCACAGTCTTGTGCACTCCGTTTCTTGAGACGTGGTCTACAGCATACTCCTGACCAGCAAGAAATTCCTGACACAAAATCGCAGTGTCGGGGGAGTCCACTCTCCTTTTCGTGGCGTTCAGGTGACTAAAGTGTTCCTCTGCTTCCTCCAGTGACTGGCAAAGCTTTACTCCGTCAGTGCCACCGGACTGCACTGGTTTCACCACCATTGGAAGCCCTAGATCCCCCAAGAAATCCTTCACATCCTGCCACTTGGAGCCACACACTTCACGAACCGCCCTTAGCCCAGACTTCTCCAGTGCCTTCTGCTGCACGTGTTTGTTCCGACGGTCGCCGCCCGCAAAGG